TCAGGAAAAAAAACTTAACAACAAACCTAAAATGAAGACCTTAAGTATGTACAGTACTTCTAGTTCAATATATGGGCCAGAAAAGCAGGAATCACTGTGAACATCACTGGCAGAAAAATGCAAGGTTTGGGAAGTAACAGCAGAAAGCTCGTGCAGCACTAACACTGCAATAAAATGAGAATAGGGTTCCCCTGAAAACAAACGTTCAGTGAAGTAAGATACAAACTACTAAACGGCTTAAAATAAAAATGAACTGGGAATGCAGACTGTGAGTTTGCTATTGTGCAAAGATAAAACGGATTTCCCCAGTTGAAGAGGGGTCCAACTGCACCCATGGCTCAGGCTCTGTGCCGCTTCTGAGCAGGCCGAGCGCCTCTGCTGTGGCCACCAGGAGCTGATTGGGGCCTCTCCATGCCAGCAGCTCTCTGATAACAGGAGCACGAGGCGATGCACTGAGTCTCTGCCTTTATTTTCTTAGGCGTCTGTGCTAGAAAACAAAAGGGCCGTGGTGCAGCTGCAGGTGGATAGCGTGTCACAGCTCCCGTTCACACAACTGGCCATTCTGGGTGGCAGCTGTCCTTACTCCCTGCTGAGCACAATACCCAACCCGTGCTGCTCCTGGCTTCTCGGCCTGGCCCAGAAGCACACCAAAAAGCACGCTAACAGCTCAAAGCCATAGGTTGTCCCATGGCAGAGCCCAACGCACATCTGGACCCTGCTCAGCCCAGTAACACAGATCAACGAGGTGCCGCTGGCGGTGATAACAGCTGTACAGCCTGCTCTAAGATAAAGCTGCAACGGCTTGAAAGCCAGTCATCTATAGTTACCTTTCAGACTATGGTTTCTTCAACTGAAATGTCAATGAATGTATAAATTTTGATGTAAAGTGACTTAAAGATAACAAAGAAAAGCTGAAAATAAATCACTAAGCTAAAGTCAGAGAAGGACAGCAAAAGGTAAAGCAGTTGTCACTTGACTGTATTTTTAAATGAAATTGGAAAGCTGTGTAGGTGAACAAAGATTCTTTCTGAGGAAGCAAGGTTACAATAAAAAATCACTGAATCATAAAAATATTGAGGTTGGAAAAGACCACTAAGATCATCTAGTTCAACCGTCAACCCAAAGAAGTTAGCATATGACTGGGTAAATAGATTTAGTTCATTAATATAAAGCATTTTGAGTCCTATGTATGTGGAGTTCCTTCTGGGATACAAGCCTGGCATATAATGTGTTTGGTTATGGTGTTTTGTTCTTAGCCTTTTGAGAAGGATCTGATGCTGAATCGGGCATATTTCGGAGTAGTGATCTCATCCTGCACATGATGGAATAAGTGCTTTACTGAATATTTGTACAGATTTCTGAAAGGGATATGCAATAATATCTTGGGATTAATATAATCTCTGAATTACTTGGACAGTTTGCCAGTGTGTGATGTAATTACTCTTAGGTTCCAGGTCAAAGTTTGACCTAGTGAGGTCACCCGTTGTTTTCACTGTTGCTTCTGATTTTACAGGTTGTAGAAAGCTACGTGCGGAATACACAAAAAGAGGAAATAACATTACATTCATGGACTATTTTAAGACCTGGGATTAACTGCTTAACTTTAAAAACATTTAAAAAAGAAGAGAGAGAGAGAGAGAGAGAGAGAGAGAAAACATGGCAAGTTGAACAATATTAGAACATGATCTGCTAACATTCAGTTGAATACTGTCATTTTAGTTACTCAGATGTAGAGAGAGAAAACAATGTGCAGATTCTGCAGGGGGTTCAGGTCCTCTGGTGAGTGCTGAGGATCTTTATACTTGGCAAAATCGGCTCTTGAAATATCAATCTAACAAAAACTCAAGAAATGTATCAGAATGCCATCGGGGTTATAAGAAGAATGTTGTCTCTTTGTACATTACATTTGAAAATAGATAAAATTAAGGAGCTAATAATTTTTAGAGTAGTTATGTATAGTGCTGATAGCACCACATCTATAATGTTTGAGGCATTCTGGTATGAAGTGTTGCAGGCAGTTCAAAGGAAAATACCTACATTCAGCACAGGGTCACCACGTTCATGAGAACTTGCCAAATTTACTAAATTCACAAACAACTTGATTTTGCTTGATTAAAATTTCTGTATGCTTGATACTGACTACATTTATTCAGTATATAAGGGACATAAATAAATAAATTGGGCAAAATTTTAGGATGCTGCAGATCAAAATAAAGTGGCCAGAAGTTGAGAAGGAAAAAATGGGAGTAGGTGTTTGGAAACAAGTTAGTAGGAAACAATTCTTAATGTAATGCTGGGAAACAAAGAGACCATCTTAACAGCTATTCAGGCATAAATTTGTCTGCAGATTAACTAGCGTAACTTATTTGGAGAAGCAGTCCTTAAGAAGTGCAGAGCAAGTCCTTCAAGTCCTTAAGACTCGAGCAGCTTTTCTGGAGGAACTAAGTGGGCTTTTCTGGCCTTACTGTTATGCTGGCATCCATATGTGCAATGTGGTGGGGAAATATGTTCAGCAAAATCACATCTACAGTGTTAATGTCTGATTCCATGCCTTTGACTTCGGTATAGTTCTGTTTTTGCAAATAATAGAAATTATGCATCCGTAAAGGCAAGAGAACATCAGGGTGAAGAAAGTAGATTTGCATTCACGTGGATGGAGGAAAAAAAAAGCCAATGTCACATGTATTACATATCTGGCTGGGAAAAAAAAAAGTTCTTACAGTGACCTTGTAATTTTGAAATGCAAATGCATTATGTAAAATTCTGTAATTTCAGTTTCAGGAAATGGCATGAAACAAACAAAATATTTGAAGCTGTCCACTTCCCTCTGAGCCTAATGTCTGAACTGTCAGAGCTAGCAGTTCCTGTTTTGAGGGGAAAAAAAAGTCACTTTAAGGCTTCTCTGAAAAGAGATTTGGAAAAATACAGCAGATAGCACAGGTATGACTGTCTGCTGGAAGAGTGTTGGTAAACTGCTTCTCTGCTCACTCTGAATACGTTCAGTGCTCATCACTCCTGCTTGAATAGCCACGTGCTGTGGGGTTGCCTCTCTGTTCCCAGAGAAAGGGTTTTTTCCCATTGCTTTTGGGAGCTGTGCAGCAAGCTTCAACATGTCCAGGAGGTGAATGCATCAGAAATCATCAGAGAAGGTGTGAAAAGGCTTTTTCTGACATGGGAAATGGATGGCTGTGAGCAGGAGCTGCTGGGAGCCACAGAGTTCACTGTTCCAGGGAGCACACCTGGGTACTTTGGGGTCTGGATGCTTTGCAAATGGCTAGGTTAGTTAGATTACAGAGAACAACTACTAAATTTCAGGAATTCATTATGAAACTACCCTAAGAATAGATGATATGAATATTAAGAAGTAAAAGCAAACAAGAAACCACTTCTTAGAAGAACTTTCATACGTGACTGTGGTATAGTGGTACAGTCTGTGCGAGTGAAGTAGAGCAAAGAGACAGAAAACCTGGGCTACATGTCGTAGACCTTTGACCAGTTTTTCACTTTTTGTCTTTCTTTTCAAGGAAATAATTTGGAGATTCCCAGGATAAACTATCTCTGGTTAAAAAAGTAAAGAGACTAGATTCTCCAAAGGCAGGCAGCTGGAAATAAATGTGAAGAAAGACAGCCACCGCAGCATTTAAAGCACTTCTTTGATCTGTTATCTTACATCCTTTGTTTTATTTTTCTTGGTCCAGAATATTTCGGCTTTATTCAGACAAAACTCATATTGAAAACAGTGCAGAATGTGACACGCGTTTACCACAAACTAGTAACTCTGTAAACATCAAAAGGGACTCCACTGAATATTTCAGCTAGCAGCATCCTTCTGCCTCTGATTCAGAAGGCACTATGATCTGTTTTGAGGCAAGGGAGAGGGATGTGGGCTTTGAGTCAAACCTTCCTTCTGTTTATGCCTGATTCTCAAAGCAAAAAAATGTTTCTCTGTCCATCTGTATGGCTGCTCATTTATTAAGAATATTATCATTCTTGTTTTAGGCATTACACCTGAAAGTTAAGTATTACTAAACAGAAGGCATACAAAATCCCTGTTTCATCCACTACTTGAAAGGAAAAAAAATGAGAACAAGCGAATCATTCAAAGAGAATTAAGTGTCATTACTGATTTCCAAAAAAGGGACTGAAAAAATGGACAGATGTGTTTTGTTTCAAGGCTCTGTGGGCCCTACTGCTCTACAACACCACAAAACTCCAGAGGATATTGATAGCATGTACTTTTACAGATGAAACAAAATCAATCAAGCAAGCCAACGAGAAACACTTGAGCAAAATGGCCAGAAAAAAAAAAAAAAAAAAAAAAAGAAAAAAGGAAATAAAATTGCATCATTGTGTTAAAATCTAGGAAAGGGAAATGATTTCAATGTCCAGGTAAAAGAGAATCTGTAGGAGAACACATGAGTGAAAAGGCTTTTGCAGAGCGAGATTTATAAGGCGCGGTTTGAAAAAGCTGTGTTTGTTTAGTCTGCAGAAGAAAGGACTGAGGGGAAAATAAAAGAATCTGACATCTAAAGATTATTGTGAAGAAGACATTCAGCAGTTGTCTTTTGTAGCCTGTTGTGGAAAGACAAGAGAAGATTATCTTAATTTTGGGTTACAGCACTTTACAGCACTTCTGAGTCCAAGGATGGGTAAAAAGTGGAACTGTGCTGTCCAGAGATGCTGGAGCATCCTCCTCACTGGCAATTTAGAACACCTTAAACAATGAATTTCTGTCACCACAGTGCTCTTACATTTATCTTCTTTCCTAACTCCATTAGCTCCACTAAACTCAATAAATAATCTGGAATTTAATAAGTAATTTGAAAATAAATTATGAAATGCAGAAATGAAATTAGCTTGTCTGAATGCATGATAAATCATTAAAAATACAGGCATCTTTTTATCAATAGAGGCATTTTTGTATTTTGTATGCGTTTTTGTATTTTAATTTTCACCAATTTTAACTTTGAACTTCACATGCATGTACTCTGTATTTGCAGATCATGGACAAGGATAAAAGTTCACCTATCTGTGCAAGCAGCGCTGGTACCTGACTGCACTATGTGAGCCTCCACACAGGAGGCTGTGTGCCTTTGTTCCAGCATCAGCAATACACTCTTCCCTTGACTTCCAGCACATGCTCCTCAGGTATGTACAGCTTTGTTGATATTACGGGGAAATATATTGCATTCAAAACACATGTAGTTTCTTTTAAGTCATAAATAGATAACCAGAGTGTATTACTTTACAGAGTATCTGAAAAAGTCTGACTCCTAAGCAAAACCAGAACTTTGATGATCAATTTTACTTTCTGTGGTTAGCAGCCTATTTTTTGCTGTGATAAGTGAAGTCTGTTAGTAATAAAAATGAAACCTAGTATCTGTGCTGTCATAATGGAACCCCAAAGTGAAATTAGTTAGTGATATTAGAAAGTATCACTTGTATTCGTGCTCCAAACCTCAATTTATTTTATTTTCCTGTACTCAAAAACAACATTAAAGAACATGTATGGATCACGTTACTGACATTCATGGCCTTGATTATAATGTGAGTCATTCACATGTGTGCTTTCGGTAGAACATAAAATACGTGACACGGAAGAGCAAGGATACTGGAAGGATGAGGTTCATTTGCCTGTTCAAAATCCTGACCATGTTCAGTCTGCTCAAAATCCTGATGAGCACGTCTGATCCTTCTAAGAAACTCAATTTGAAGGAAAATGAGAAAAGCCTTTAATTGTATTTATTATTGTGATAAATAGTAAAAATGCAGATCTGTTCGCTGCTTGAGAATTTCTGTGTTCATCTCAAACAATAGCTAAAGTCTTCAAATTGAAGTGCTCATCTTGCAGTGATAGTTCTTGTATTTGGTCTGTGGCAGCAAAGAATGAATATATGAAAATGGGTATTTTTTGTACCTTCATTCAAACTGTGTGAGAAACATTTCAATTATTAGGAACAGCTGTATTAAAAATGTGAATAGCATACAGAGACTCAAATGATTTCTGCTTAGTTAACCTCCCAGAGAAGAAGGCTTAAGAAAGTAAGAGAAGAAGCAATCCTTCGCTTTTGTAGACCTGTCTTGTTATCCTACTTTAAAACCAAGGAGCTCCAGTGTAACGTTCCTCTTTTGTACAGCACGTGAATCATCTAGACTGGACCAGGTCTTGGCTTAAGGAGTTTTTAAAGTAGAAGACATCTATTTAAGTTATTTGAGAACTGACCTAGAAGAAGACCACTACCGTCTCAAAGCCTTTAAAACACAAAGCAGTCCAGACAGAGATTGTAGTCAATGTGATGTATGTAATTTTAGGAGTCTTATTTACCAACAGTAATTGACTGCATTATAAATTTGTTTGCTACAGGCAAAGTTCGCTCTATGTTAAAATTCCCACAGCACTGTGGAACAAGAATATAAATTACATACTACTGCTTCTTTATATTAGTATAGTTTAGAAGAAAACCAGCTTTCTTCAGAGAAGCTTTGGGAAGAACATGTCTAGCAAATAACCTCAGAACGTTTAATTCACACTTTTTAGTTTTTCTCATGAAAATCAAAGTAGTAGCTTGTGATCCAAGACGTTTCGTGAAGAGAGAATGATGTGAATTGTGGATGATGAATAGAACAAATTGAGAAAAATGTGAAACTACTGAGGCTTCTTTTACTTCAAATCAAAATCTAAGCTTGCCCACTTCTCAGAACTTGCTTTTCAAAGGGTGCATAAAGTCTCTGATTTTTTTTTAGTAATTGAGTATTCACATTTACAGTTTGAAGTTATAAAATGTTAACTATATTTTCAACATTCCCATTGAGTATTTTATCAATCAGTTAGTATTATTTTTTCAGACTAAAGAAAAGATTTCATTAACCAGAGGTGATTTATTAGGAAGAGAAATGTAGTTTCTCCATGTGTCTTCAGGGCCCAATGAGACGATTAAGAAAATCAATGCCCAGCAAGGTGTCTGTAATCTACTTCAGATGATATGATACTCAAGAAAAAAACACCCCTACAACTAATAGTATAGAATGCTCTAACTGCTATTTCAAAGGTGCCAATGAATGTGTCGCTTAACAACTTTGAAAACATTTCTTATGGATTAAATAAAGATATTTAGAAGCAGTAAGAATTACCAAGGGGCAGCTGAGAAGAAAAAGAATATATGCTGTTTGACTGAGTGAGGTAAACAACCATACACAATTAAACTGGAATGATGTGATAAAGAACAGAGGATTTTTTTAATTGAAGATGGACTGATTGATACAAGGAAAGTACACCAGGAGAGTGGTGAGGTGCTGGCACAGGCTGCCCAGAGAGGACCTCCTGTCCCTGCAGGTGTTCAAGGTCAGGCTGGATGGGGCCCTGGGCAGCCTGGTCTAGTATTAGATATGGAGGTTGGTGCCTTGCATGCGGCAGAGGGGTTGGAGCTTGATGATCCTTGAGGTCTCTTCCAACCCAAGCCGTTCTTTGATTCTATGGTTCTATAGTTCTATAGAGAACGTATAGTTGGAAGGTGAGATAGAATTGGGAAAACATGGTGTGCAGTTGTTTTGAGTTATTCTGTCTTAAAAGATTCAATATTATTTTAAAGAGATGGTAATCTGGTTACTTAGCATAATCAAAATTAGACTGACCAAAGTGCTGTAAACTGTACTTTAGAAAGACAGTCCCTGGCCAATTTTGAGGAATAAGTTAAGAGGAGGTCAAAATTAAGAAAATATTTTCTCTGGAGTATTAGAGTTTGTAGGTAGTTCTGGGCTCTCCATACTTACACTGTGATACACAGAAACAGTAATAAAGAGAACGATGCTTTCTTAATGTAGTTTGCATGCATATTAACTTATGTAGCCAAGCTTTCCATCTAAATTGGCCAAAGCACAGAAAATTATTTTAATTGCCCGATTTTTATGAAGCATGTGAATAACTCAGCTGGGGTGCTTTTGGCTTCTTGAGTGCTTGAGTAGATATAGCTCATTGCTGGTGTGTATGTGCCCCGTGAGTACTAGGACAGTTTGGATGAGCAGAGTCTGATTATTAGACGGTATCAGTGGATTACTTGAAGCACCCTTATGCTCTCTGTCCTCAGGGCATTAAACAGTGCTGTGAGTACAAACTTTCATGATTTCATTATTTCCTCCATACCACAAAGGTAGAAACAGTGCAATATAAGTACTGTGTGATTCATTTAACTTTTATGTGTATTTCATTATTTCCTCCATACCACAAAGGTAGAAACAGTGCAATATAAGTACTGTGTGATTCATTTAACTTTTATGTGTAGTACTGTAATTAATTTCATGCAGTAAATTAGGTCTCCTACTGACTATTAAGAAATATGGTTTAAATTAATATACCAGATATGTCTCCTTCTATACAGATAAGAGAGTCATGAGTTACTGAGGTTTAATATTTTCCCTAGCATGATTCTTCAGATCCTATTTATGACACAAGGAAACAGACAGTGGGGGAAGGAGGGAGGGGATTTCCCTAGGGGGGGGAAAAAAAATCAGTTTATTTCTAAATTCCATGAATAAAGCTACAGTTATGCTTTAAGGCAGTGTCTCATACTAAGTGTCTTAAAAGCAGTGGTTCTGGGCTTCTAGGCCATACTTGTGCCCACAGCCCACCGACAGGGAAGTTGGCCGGAGGACTGCGGTTCCAAGCACAAGCACATGCACATAGCAAGGGATGAAAGAGTCATCAGCAATATGGTGGTTCTTTGATTCATGTATTTTAAAGTCCATGGCCTGAAAAGAACTATTTTATTTTCTGGATGATCCCTGCAGGGACCTTGATAGTGACTGGCTTTGTGTTAAGTGCCTGATGCATTTAGAGTCCTGATAGCAGCGATCACCTCCGTAGTGCCTGTGCTGTCCATTGAGCTGTCTGGCTTGCTCTTGTGCCTTCTCTATCCCTTATTCCCTGAAAAACTATCCAGCCAGTCAGAAACAACAAACACCAGAAACAGATTTCCTTTTACAACAGATTGCAGGAGCAAATATGCCACCGCGGATTGCTAACAGAAGCTGCTGTACCTACCACTTTCCTTACAGAAAGGGTGAGTGGCTAGCCCTATGCTGTGAGCCATCAGTACTGTGACACTTCCATTTGCTATTTCAAGTCTGGACTGATGTTGGATCCACGACCAATTCCTCACCAATCCTTAATTCTCAAGATCAGCCTGCAAAGTGTCCTTTATACAGGAGCCCACACAGCAGATTCCTAATTCTGCAGAGAGCAACCCTTCACAAATCCTCCTCGTGAACCAAGAGACATTTATTTTGTTCTGGTGTTCTTCCTGCCTCTCTCCCAAAAGCAATTGTCTTAGAAGATAATAAACTGAAGTGTAGTGCCACAACAGGTGATTGGCTCAAGTCACATGGGTCAAAAACCATAGAATCAATGGTTCTAGACCTAAAAAAACCAGCCACACTGATTTTAAACACATGGTTACTGGGTTGCTGAACAGCAACAAGTCAGTTAAACTCCTTCCAAGCATCTGTTAAGCTCACTGAAAGCATTTTGGCATTTACAGTCCCTCACAAGACATACTATACTTTGTCTACATTCTGCACAAAGTTGATCTGTTGCTCCCCAGCACCAAATCAAATGGTGTGGCACATGAAGAAGTCCTCTCCTCATTAAATTTGGGGCAAACCAATCACAGGTCCTCACTGTGGTGTCATCTTCTTACTGGATGTGACTGCAGCTTGTTCAGATACAGGGATTTGCTCACGCTGAAAGTCTCTGTGATGCTTGGGGGATGTTCTCTGTGTATCTCTGAGGCAGGACCCAGTACCTTGAATCAGAAGTACACTAGGTTTTGTTTTTCAGAGGCTTGCTGAACAAGTGCTGATAGTCAAAGTGATAACCAATGATATGTTTTGTCAACAACCCAGTGAGAGGTAAGACTGTTCAGTAACTTTCACCTGATACACACCAGGGAACTTTTGGGGTTTGTTGTTAAGAGGTTCTGACCCTTCCTGACCTTCAGTCCATCTAACCACAATAATGGGGAGCCAACAACAGTGACAGGTCTTCCAGAGGAACCATTTTCAAATGGGAAATCCTAAACGGGCACTTATTCATGACAAGAGTAGGTGCCCCATTCTACCAGGAGCAACACTGACAGTTCCAGGAAAAATGCTCT